CCCCCCCCCTCTTATCCGGTCTGTTCAGAGAGATAAGAGTGACTATCTAGCACCCTGCACCTCCTTTGCATCTACTTTTAGAAAGTTATGTATACCTGTGACATTGCTAAGGACTTGTGGGGACTGCTTTGGAGCAAAGCATCCTCTAGATGTCCCCAAACAATTGTAAGGGGTTGAAGTCTCATGGGATAACACTGCAATAAATAAGACGCTTATCCCATGCATACTTTATGCCTTGAACTTACCTTGTTTATTTTGTCATACAGAAGTCCAGCTTTGAGCAGTAGATCATCTTGCTTATATTTAACATAATTATTTTTATTGTTTATTATAGTATACGATGATATCAACAGCAGTAACACAGTCACCATACTGCATTGTTATTTGTTGCCACGTGGAAGATTGTCATATGACTTTGAAATTTGAGTATTAGTGTACGCAGAAGTTTTACAAAATTGCATTTTCTACATGAAGAATTGAGGTTGAATTTTATTTTGAACGGAGTCGAGTTCAAGCTCATCATTTAATAAGACACTCTAACAGTGAAGACAGCAATTTTCTCATTGCTTCTGCAATGATGATGGAGTTCTAGTTTGCATAGTCAGTCATGGATATGAACCATGAAAACTTAAGGCTTGTATAACTTAAAGAGTGGTCATTTTGCCCTGTAGCATACTTTCCATGTTTTTTCAGATTCTGTGGTGCCAGCATAATTTTCAGGTCTAAAGCATACTCTTATGTAGCTAGCGGCCAGTGAAATCAGAAAAAGTATTGGTTGCGTTAGAAGCTGATGATCCAGTAGTTATGGATGAGTCCGCTGGTGTACTCTTATCCATGCTAATGACAGTAGGCCTGCTAGGAGTTCGCGCGTATGTGCTACGATCACTTAATAGCATGACAACAACTTCAGACATGGTTGGCCTAAGATTTGCTGGTGATTGTGTACACATTAAGGCAATCTCTATGATTTTCTTCGCTTCTTGTTCATTGTATTCACTGGGGTCTAAAGTCTCATCCACCAGTTTTTCTGGCATGCCAGTTTCATGAAGTTTCCACGCCTAATTTCACAATAGCACAGGTACATTTAGAATGGGACAGAGAAGTTGGAAGAAAATACTTAGTAAAATATGAAAGGAAAGTGGAATTTGAAAATGAAAACAGACCTTTTCAAGGAGATATTCAGTGACAGGCTCAATTTGCATATCATTGCTCCTCCGGCCACTGATTATTTCAAGAACGACAATGCCAAAGCTATAGACGTCGACTTTCTCTGTTAGATGTCCATGAATTGCATATTCTGGTGCAGTATATCCCCTGTTTCAATTAGTGTTCATCGAGTTGTTCTCATAATGCCTTTAGTGATATCAGGAAAGAAACTCGAGCAGTCAAATTGACTTACAAGGTACCAGCAAACTTAGTGCTGACATGACTCTGATCCTCAGGTAAAAGTCTTACAAGCCCAAAATCAGCAATTTTTGGCTGAAATTCGTCGTCTAGTAGAATGTTGCTGGATTTTATATCTCTATGGATGATGCAGACGTGGAATTGCTCGTGCAGGTAGGCAAGGCCCCGAGCTGTGCCAAAGATTATATCAAATCGTTGCTTCCAGTTGAGCACCCCTCGTTTGTCGCCTGCAAAACATTGAGAGGTAAGATTATTTTAAATTTTCTTGAACATAATGATTTGACTTGGACAAAAATACTAAGCTGGATAAACAAAAAAAATCAACCATATAAGTATCTCTCAAGACTGCCATTTGCCATGTATTCGTAAACAAGTAGTAGGTCTGCTCCTTTGTTAGAACACCCCAAGAGACGGATGAGATTGCGATGATGGACATTACTGATAAGCCTAACTTCAGTCTCAAAATCTGCCTTTGCTCTGCTAGAAAACATTGCTAGTTTCTTAACAGCAACTACATGTCCATTTTTCAAAGTGCCCTGTTCAATAACATTAGAATCGTCATTTCAGTTAAATTAATTGGATAAATGAATAGAAGTCAGTTCAAGATTATCTAGTCAATTTGATTGAGATAAGGATCTTCAACTGTTTCAGTGTTACCTTGTATACATCACCAAAACCACCTTCACCAAGTTTATTACTTTCATTGAAATCTTGGGTAGCAATTTTTAGGTCCTTGAATCTGTAGCTCACTGGACCTCTCAGCTCAGTTGCTCCCAGTATATTACCTGAACATGAGCTACTATATCAGTTACGATATAAATAAACGGATGAAAAGAAATCCCCACGTCTCTTTCTATAGTTAAGAGAAAGACATAGAAAACGTATTTAAGACTTTGAACTACAAAAGATTCTGAAGATGGTTGAGGGATAAAGAAGGTTAATTCAGAAAGTGATCGTCCAAATTTTACCTCTTTCAGCTGCCTTTGGTTTTCTAGAAAGTCGATACCATAAGAACAAAGCCAATACAATCAAAAGAAGTCCTACACCTCCAACTACACCCCCAATGATGGCCGCTTTCTTTTTGTTTGAACTTCCTGCATAAAGCACCACCACCGATTATAAATTTGTCTCATAATGAATTAACTTACTGGTAAGAGTCGAGGAAAAAGAGAGCTTCATTTCCTACCTCCTGCACCAAGGAATGGTGTGATATCTGTTGTCTTATTATCAGCGAAAAAGGCTCTATCCGAGTACCTCATAAAACAGGCTGCATCTACAGCTCTTCCTTCTGCATATTTAGGCAAGCAGCCTTCTATGTTTTTATATGCCACTGTCAAGCAATCTTGGCAGCCACTTTTAGTGATGGTTTCAGCACATTGTGCTACTCCATAGAGAGTAACACCAGCGACTTCCCTCTTCGTGGCTGCATAGAAGCCACTAATTCTTGGAGTCGCCATGCTAAGATCATTCAAGAGTTGTTGTGCCACAGGATTTAAAGCATTTGGCTGAGAAGCTGTTCGATTCCCACAAATTGCTGCATTTCCTGGAAGTGTAGTCTCTTGGTAGAAGTTGTTGCTCTCGTACCTTTGGACAAAAGGCATCAGTAGAGCAATGAGTCCATGTAAGCTATTAGAAAGATTTTACTCTCCCTTTGTATCTTTACATTCTAATACAAGCAGCCATTTTAATGAGTATGATTTAATAATTGGAAATTAGACTATCAAAGTGTTTGTGTTTTCCACCAGAGGAAATAGACTGCCTCAGAAAGTGGTCTTGACATTACAGTCTAAAAGGTAAGGAAAAGTTCGACTTTCCACAGTTTTTGAGTTTAAGTGACGATTTTATCTGAATCGAAGATTACCACAAGAAGATACATGATCTCATACCAAACAACTGGGAGACTGTTTATAGGTTAGTATTAGGGATTGTATGCAATCAAACAGTAATATAAATATTGCTGTTACCAGTAATCTTGACTCTTGAATGTTAGCAAACAACATCATATGAAGTATCATAATCAAGGGCTGCTGCATATCATTTAGCATAGTATTTGTTTTAGTTTCTTTCTTGAAGGGGAGCCTTGGCGTAACTGATAAAGTTGCTGTCATGTGACCGGGAGATCACATGTTCGAGCCATGAAAACAGTCTCTTGCATAAATGGAGCCGTGGAAACAGCCTCTAGCGGGAGCTTAGTGCATCGGGCTGCCCTTTTTTTTCCAATAGTTTCTTTCTTAATGGAAATTTTGAAGAAGAGGCCAAAATCTTGAAAAATTGATGTGAAAATACAAAGAGCAATTCCATAGATATTTCTTAATATAGTCGACTCCAACTAGTTTCGAGGCATAACTCACCTGAGGAAGCAACCATCATAGGTAACACGAGCACCATTAGCACCAGAGCAAGTTCTGATGAGAGTAACAGCAGTATCATAACAGGAGACACAATCAGCTTTTGACAAATAGCTTCTGCATTCAACCATAGCATAAACAGCCTGTTGTGTCGTGGCGAATCGCTTATCTTGATTAGATAACTGGTTTCTTAAATCATCAAAACTTGCATTAAGTCTTCTGAAAAAATCAGGTAAATTTGTTGCATTGTATTGACTACATCCTTTGCCTAACAGGTTGGTTTGTGGCTCGGAAAAAACCGGCTTCTGCATCGATAAACAACCGATAAACGCCACCGTGAACCACCAGCTCCAC